GTTTTAATCCTTCTGCCCTCAGTCTTTTGTTGTGTGCAGTTGGGCTGCTGCTCCTCTGCCCCAAAGACTGCAGGAAACACAGTCTGGTGTTGGGGAAAGGAGGCTCTAGTGTCCTGAGGGGCTAGCAGTTCATACCAGCTCACAGTTTTCATGCTGTCTGTTGTTTTATCTGAGACCCTACCATTGTGGAGCCATTTGTCCCAAGGAGAATCTCAGCTTTTGTTAACAAGAGTTAAAAAAAGCATGGAAAAAAAATCAAAAAAGAAGAGGAAAATAAAACCTCTCTTTGGTTGGAGACAAAAGCCTGGATATGTGATTCAAATATAGACTAAAGGCTTAAGTGCCTGGCAAGCAAAATAACTTGGGAACAGGTTTCTAATCCTTTTAGACAGACCAGTTTTAAAGAAAATCTGTATAACTTTTGAGGGCTTGACTCACATTTGTAAGTGCCCAGGCTTGACAGTGCTCTATTTTTAAGTGCTGTCTTTATGTTGAATCTTGGGAGGTGAGATGAAAATGTTTGGTTTTTTTTTAAAGTAACAACAAATCTTAATATAGCTGAGAATGCGGAACTGCCCTTAGAAAAATAGGTTGGACACATGAAAAGGAATCTTGCTCAGCAGGCTGAAGACGCAGAGCAACTTCTGTGGTTGCGTTTTTCTTTCTTCTGGCAATTTTGGGGTGGGGATGTAGCTGGCGCACTCACTTGGTCTTACGTTTCTTCTCGAATGCAAGTCAGATCTTCCTGAACAAAAAGTACCTGTCTGAAACTGTTTTAGCCCGAACTGTTTGCTATAACTGTTTTGTGAAACTTGAGGCAATCTGAAGCTCCTCAAAAATAGGAGTTACAGGATTGGTAGGGAGAAGTAGAGGGTCCTTTTGAACTGAAATGGCTTAGTAGAAACAAAAGACAGGCTGGCTCTCAGTTGCTTCAGAGAGGTGATTAGGTTTTAGCTGTCATCTCCTGCCTAGAGTCCTGAAGACTTAAATGGCATGAAAATGAAGTCAGTTGCTTAAAGCCAAAGCTAATCAAATGAGGAGACTCTAAAGTAGGAGGCTAATCTTTGTCATCTGACAGGCAATCCTAAATTCCCATGGGATAGCAGTGCAGCTCTTCTGTGGTAACATGTCTGTCATGCTGAGACTCTTGTACCTTCAGCCCAGTGTGCTGCGTGGGCTTTGTATGACTGGTAAGCCATAAAACCTGAAAACATACCTGAGTTCTCAGAAGTGACACCATGTGACAGAGAGAACTGATGACTGCACTGCACACTGCTGGTGTCCAGTAGTGTGAAACTTAATTAAGGGGATTTAACAAGGGCAAGTGCCAGATTCTGTATCTGGGATGGGGCAGCCCTGGCTGTACATGCAGGCTGGGGAATGAGGTGCTGGAAAGTAGTGCCGTGGAAAGGGACCTGCGGATCCTTGTCAATGGCAAGTTGAATATGAGCCAACAGTGTGCCCTGGCAGCCAGGGGGGGCAAACCGTGTCCTGGGGTGCATCAGGCACAGGTCAGGGGAGGTGATTGTCCCACTGTACTCTGTGCTGGTCTGGCCTCACCTTGAATATTGTGTGCAGTTTTGGGCACAACAATGTAAGAAAGATACTAAGTTACTAGAGAGCATCCAAAAGAGAGCAGTGAAGATAGTGAAGGGCCTTGGGGGGAAGTCGTATGATGATTGGCTGAGGTCACTTGGTCTGTTCAGCCTGGAGAAGAGTTAGAGGAGACCTCATTGCTGTATACAACTTCCTCACGAGGGAAAGTGCAGCAGCAGGCACTGACCTCTTCTCTCTGGCAACCAGTGAGAGGACCCAAGGGAATGGCCTGAAATTGCATCAGGGGAGGTTTAGGTTGGATATTAGAAAAAAGGTTCTTCACCCAGAGAGTGGTTAGGCACTGTAACAGGCTCCTCAGGGAAGTGGGCACAGCCCCAAGCCTGACAGAGTTCAAGAGGCATTTGGACCATGCTCCCAGGCACATGGTGTGATTGTCAGGGATGTCCTGTGCAGGGCGAGGAGTTGGACTAGATGATCCTCAAGGGTCTCTTTCAACTGTGTATATGCTGTGATTTCACAGAAATTTCAAGGCAGTGGTGGACCTGCTGATGTGGCTGCTTGGGCATGTTGTCTTAAAGAACGCAGTCATTTCTTCATACAGAATTGAGTTACATGTGAATATTCAGTGTGGGTAAATTTAAAATTAAAATTTTAAATGTAAAAATATGCAAACACCAGAGCTGAGGGTCTTTTAAAAAACAAAACCCCTGCTCAGGGAATGCAATTATTCAGGCTGTGCATACATTTGATTACCTAGCTCCCAAGCTGGTGAGAGCAGCTCTTCAAACTCCTTGAAGCTTCCCCCTGGGGTGTGCTAGTGCTGCAAGCAAAATGGGCTTGTAAAGTCAAAAGTAGCAAAAAGGGAAGAGGTGTGTATAAAAGCCAGCAAAGCCATCCTCTGGGTTAGTCTGGTGGAGACTGAGAAGAGCTCATTTTAAAGTAATTTTCCAGGCTGTGATTTGAGATTTAGTTAATGCTTTCACAAGAAGTTTTCTTGGAACAGCACAGGATTGTTGGTGCTGGGACAGAGGCTGGAGCATGAGCAAGCATTGAGCACTGGCTCACCCTCAGTTCCACTGTCCCTGCGCGTTGTCCTGGCTTGGGTGCCTGCAGAGGAGCAGTGTGGGTTGGAGGGGCTGACGCTCTGCCCATGTGCCATGCTGGTCTGGGTTAGGAGTTTTTTCACACGTTTCCACGCCCCTTGGCACAGTGGGACTCAGTGGGCATTGCTGGCTCTGCAGTGTGTGTGCACAGGGAAGGGCACTGTTGACTGAGCTGCTGTGCTGGCAGCTGTCTGCCTGCTCTGGGGCTGCAAGAAACTGCATGTGAATCTCTCATATCCAGGCAGGTTATTATGAGAGAACTCACCTGCGCTAATTCTTCCTCCCTGGCCTGTTTTTTTGTGGGATTTTTTTTTAATACAACCGTGTTATACATGGGCCAGGGGAAACTAATGGCCTTATAACCCTAATCTGGTGATAATTATTACATTTTCGTTTCCCCTCTTCTGTTAAAACTAGTAAAGGATGTTACAGGACCTGTGTGAAGAAGCCCATGATAAACCCAGGAAAACCAAAGCCCACGTGCTTCGCAAAGCCTGCTGTGAGCCTTTGCAGCTCCGGGAGGTGGCACCAGCTCACTGCAGAGACTCTCAAATGGCTCCTTGTGGCAGCGCCACGATATGTGAGCAATCAGGTCATGGACAGAGCTCCTGCAAAACCTCTGGGAAGGTGCTTCTAGCTCCTAGGACTTTGATTATTTTTAAAAAAGCAGTGGATTCCCAGCCTTTATTCTTCAGGTGAATAGGAGCCATTGCAGGTCTTGGTGGCTCATAAATTCCTGGTAATTAATTCATGCAGCTTCTGAGACATGCCAGTAATGGGCATCATGTCTGTGAAAAAGTCTGGCACACTGCAAGCCCATGTTCTGGATACAAAATACTCTGGTCTATGTGGTCATATCCACATGAGGATATTTCTTCCTTCTGTTGAGCAACATAGAACTTGTTCTGTGGTTGTGTATGTTTTGGGTTTTTTGGTTGGTGGGGCTTTTTATGGCCTTTTTGATTTAGTTTTTGTTTGTTTGTTTGTTTTTCTTAGGCAGCAATGGAAATGAAATGAATATGTTCAAAATCATTCTTAATGTTCCCTATAATTAATTTTTTAAGAAGAATATTGAAAATACTACTTTCCCTTTCAATCTGAACATTAACAGGGTATTGTAGGTCTTACTGAGGAATATTCAAAATATTGTTCATCTTCTTAGTGTAAAGCCCAGAAACTTCCACTGAAATAATGACATTATTCCTGTGTTTAAAAATAACATGTTGCCTTACATTTACCAAAAAACTCTCACAAAAAACCTCCCAACCAACCAACCAGAAAACCTCAGAGTAGTTTCAAGCAAATGTTGTGCTTACAGCAACTTAATGTAAAACTCATGAAAGATATGTTTTAACTTGCCCAGAGTAATAAAATTTTTTTGAAGCATGGTTCTGTTCTTATGTCATGGTTTAACCCCTAGGGCATTATACAAAACCCCACACAGACACTCGCTCACTCCCCCACCAGTACAATCAGAGAATCAGAAGGATAAAAGCTAGAAAACTTGTGGGTTGAGAGGAAGACAATTTAATAGGGCAAAGAAAATACACACACACAAGCAAAGCAAAACAAGAAGTTAGTTCACCATTTTCCACAGGCAGGAGGTGTTCAGCCATCTCCAGGAGAGCAGGGCTCATCACGGGTAACGGTTATTCAGGAACACAAATGCCATCACTCCCAATGTCCCCCCCTTCCTCCTTCTTCCTCCCACTTTATGTACTGGGCATGGTGTCATGTGGTATGGAATATCCCTTTGGTCAGTTTGGGTTACCTGTCCCAGCTGTGTCTCCTCCCAATTTCCCCTTACCAGTATGGAAAGCAGAAAAGGCCTTGGCTCTGTGTAAGCTTTGCTCAGCAATAACAAAGGCATCTCTATGTTATCATCACTGTGTTCAGCACTAAAACATTAGCCCCCTGCTAGCCACTGTGAAGAAAATTAACTCCACCCCGGCCAAAACCAGCATGTCTTAACCAAGGTGATAAACACTGAGCAGTGAGGATCAGGTGTAGGAGGATTCCTTTTGCTAAAATGTCGATGATGACATTTCAGATCTCTTTGGTGAAAATACCTGGGAAAGATGAGTGGATTCTTCCTAAAGTTTGGAGGATTTTTGAACTGTATTCTCAACCAAGTGCTTTTGTCCCTTCTGATGACTCATACAAAGAAGTAAGAATATTGCTTCTTGGGATTTTACCTGATGTCCCTGAAGAAAGAATGTCCTGCTTGTAGTGATAAGGACCAGGATTTAGGTCTTAGCACTCACTGGGTAGTCCCTTGCTCAGTGGTCAATCAGGAGTCTGTGTGCCACTACTAACAGGTGCTGCTTTCCTCTTCTGCAGGTTTTCATTTCTGTGAACTGCCTCAGCACAGACTTTTCCTCTCAGAAGGGAGTTAAAGGCCTGCCCCTGAATCTTCAGATTGACACCTACAGCTACAACAACAGGAGTAACAAACCTGTCCACAGAGCCTACTGCCAAATTAAAGTCTTCTGCGACAAGGTAAGGTTGAGTTGATGTGCCAGTGACCATTTAGGAAAGGCCATTCCACAGCTTGGCATCATTTTTTGTTTGTTTGCTTTCTTTCTTTTTTTTTTTCCTCTTCCTCCCTAATTCTGTCACTTGCTATTTTGGCTCCCTGAAAACTCCTGTCTGTGTTTAGCTTTTGCAAGGGAAAATCATCAGCCCCTTCTGCTTGGCTTATAGATGTTATGATGACCTCAAATAAATTTGCTGCTCTCAAAATGCTGGAGTGCTGAGAAGTGTTCCTGGGCATTGACTTTGGAGAAAGGATGGTCAGTGGCAGACTGACACTGGAAAGTCCTGCAGAGAGTGCCTTTGGTAGGAGAAATCATTGCCATTGACTGGAGCAAATGGAGGCTTGTCTTTTTGCCCAAGTTGCCTTGTGTTGGTCCTTTAAAATTTATTTGTGCATTCTTAATGCATTTGTTATTAAAAAAGCCAATAATTTGCACACCTCGTTAACAGAAAATATACCTCTGTGAGACACAGCAGCATAACAAAGCCTGTTTACAAGCTGGATGGGTGCTATAATTTTACTGCTCTGCCTAATGCATTTAACACACAGAGAATTAATGCTGTTCCCAAAGCCACTGCTCACCAGAAGCTGTGAAAGAAACAGCAAGAGCTGAGCTGAAAGCAGTTGTAAAAGCTTAACTGAATTTGCAAAGAAAGGACATTACCCAATCTTCCAACCTGTTCCTACCTGAGCAGTTTTTTAAGGACCAGGGCAAGTAATGTGTGATGCTGCTGTTTCCAGAGTGACCAATGTTGTTCTAGGCTGGGATAAATGCTTCCTGGACTTCCCCAGTCCTTCTTTTGATTGCTGTCAACAATACTGACTTCCTGTTTTGCTGGTACCCTGCTTGATTAGGGCTTCTCATTCTTTGAATCCAGACTCCTCATAGGACAGAGTGGTATTGCTGTGTGGTCTTCCCTTGTGATCCCTCAGGACAGTGCCACAAGGAGTCAGCTCACACACTGTTATTCTGCCTTCACTTGCCTCCCAGAATATACAGAGCTGTCTGCACTGTGTGCCCCTGCTGTAGCATCCCATTGCTCTCCCTGCTGTGTTCTCTTGTCCATCTATATACTTTTAAGTTGGCCTCTCTGCTTTCCTGTGTGGCTGGGAGAGCTGCCTGCAGCTGCTCCTGTTGTGTTACTTTCTGCTAAGAATTTACAGGGAGCTAAGGAAGGCTCTCCAGAGCCATCTTAAAGACTTGCCAGTAAGCCTAAGAGGCTTGGGTCTCATGAGCTTTTTTTTTCCCTTCTGTTTTTTATTTTTCTTTTTTCCTTCTTAAAGGAAAAGGATGAGACTGGGGCAAGCATGCCGTCTGACATTCTTTCATCAAAGTAATCTGGGAGTCTTATGCATTATCAGCCTGCATTCTCTATGACATAGTGAGTATAGACTCACTGCAGGGTCAGGGAGGATCTTTTACTCTTAAGTTGTCCAGTCAATTACTGACACTGAGCTAAAATTACTGACAGGCTTGTGCCACTGTGCATAAGACAAATAGGTTAATAAAAAGGCAAATGTGTAGTCAGGACATAGCTTGAAGGAAGCCATTGGAGCCTATGCCATAAATTTCAGCAAATCTAGCAGTACAGTAATGCCAGTGCATCTTTTATTTTCCTTTGGGATTTTGAATTATTCTCCTGCTTTATTCCTCCAGATACTTTGCAAATTGTGCCTGTCTTAAAAGAGGAGGAAATGAAGGAGAAATGCCATTCAAAATCAGAACAGGATAATAAAAAATAAAACTGAATCTTAAAGCACCTTCTTCCTCTGCCCCTCCCTTCTTCCCAGGCTCAACTTCACTCCCTAATTCTCCCCCTCTTCCCTCCAGGCAGTGCAGGGGTACAGGGAACAAGGGTTATGGTCAGTTCATCGCATGGTATCTCTGCTGCTCCTTCTTCCTCAGGGGGAGCACTCCTCATGCTCTTTCCTTGTTCCATTGTGGGGTCCCTCCCATGGGAGCCAGTCCTCCATGAACCTCTCCAACATTAGTCCTTCCCACTGGCTGCGGTTCTTCACAAACTGCTCCAGTTTGGGTTGCTCCCATGGGGTCACAAGTCCTACCAGTAAACCTGCTCCAGCATGGACTTCCCATAGGGTCACAGCCTCCTTCTGGCATCCCCCTGCTCTGGCATGGGGTCCTCCACAGGGTGCAGGTTGGAACTCTGCTCCACTGTGGACCTTCATGGGCTGCAGGGGGACAGCCTGCCTCACCATGGGCTGCACAGGAATCTCTGCTCTGGTGTCTAGAGTGCCTCCTGTCCCTCCTTCTCAGCTGATCTTGGTGTCTGCAAGGCTATTGCTCTCCAGTATTCTCACTCCTCTTTTCTGACTGCTGCTGCAGATAGAGTTTTTTTCCTGTCTTAAATACATTATCCCTGAGGTGCTACCACTGTGACTGATGGGCTGTGCCTTGGCCAGCAGTGGGTCTCTGTTGGAGCCGGCTGGTATTGGCTCTGTCAGACATGGGGGAAGCTTCTTCTTGAAATAAACATCTTCACAGAGAAGCCACCCCTGTAGCCACCCCCTGCTACCAAAACCTTACCACACAAACCCAGTGTACTCACAGACACTAGTGCTGGCCACTTGCTCCAGGCATTTCAGAAAAAGCACCTATTTTCTGCCCTGCTTTGAGTCTTACGTAATGTCAGCTAGTTTTGAATGTTTATAGGACCATTGTTACTATAGTATCCTCACCTGTTCAGTCCTTAATGTGTTTGTCCTCATGTGGCCACTCTAACCTGTAGAAATCCTGTTACACATGTTTTCTTCATGGAGAACCAAGTCTGTAGTGTGGAGATCTGTGGAAAAAAGCAGCAGAAAATGATGATGCCGTGGCCACCTAACAGGGGCAGCTGTGTGCATCTCCTCTGTTCCTTTGTCTGTTAAGGCTGTGGTTGCATTGCACCCCTGAACTGACTCTGAATGCAGACAGTGGCATAGCAATCCTCTCTTGCCTCTTTTCTGTGTACAAATCGATAGATATCCTGAGGAAGGTCAGACAGTTTAGTTAATGTTGCAAGGGGCCTTTACACAGGGAAGGAATGAAGGATGAGGGCTCCTGTGCTTGGGCGTAGAACAGAAAGATGCTGGTATGTTTCTACTTTTTGTGTGCTGCCTCCAGGACCAAGTCCTTCATGTGTTTCTGTCTTCCCCTTTGCATTCTGTGTGGAAGGGGGTTCCACAGGTGTCTAGGATGTTTGGTTTCCATCTAGTCCTGTGTGGTTTTCAGACCTGAGTAAAGCAGTATGTGTAATGGTATTGTTCTGTAGTATGTTACAGCACAAGCTTTGTTCAGGCCTGACCCAGGAATATTTGAGCTGTGCAGGGATGGGGCTGACTTCTTCCAGAGGAAGAAGACATTCGCTGCTGCAAATGGTGCCTCAGCTAAGCACCCACATGAGGAAGATTAAATACAGGGTTTCACAGACTATAACTAGTGTTACCCTCTAGGATCTGCTGTTACTCATAGCAATGGGCAGTGCTGTGGGAAGGCTTTTATGGGACGGTAGGAACGAGTGAGTGAGGTGCTGTTGGTTGCAAGGTGGCTGGAGGCAGCATTGATATGGGTGAGACTGTTCCTTCTGTTGCATGATCACAGAATGGTGTGGGTTGGAAAGGACCATTTAAAGATCATCTAGTCCAGTCCTTGCCATGGGTAGGGACACCTTCCACTTGACCAGGTTGTTCAAAGCCCCATCCAACCTGGCCTTGAACACTGCCAGGGATGGGGTACGGATAGCTTTTCTAGGCAACCTGTGCCAGTGCCTCACCATCCTTATCATAAAAAAAATTCCCTCCTTACATCCGATATAAATCTACCCTCTTTCAGTTGGAAACCATTGCTCCCTGAACTCTGCTGGCAAGGCAGAAAAGCCTGTTATCAAGACCTGACTTGCTGTTTTTATGTGAGTTTTGAGATGTGTTTGCCTGGGCCCTAACAGCCTGATTCAAGCAGGGAATGGGAGGGCAGAGGTTTTCTCAAGATGTGTGCTCTTCTTGGATCAGCAAGTTCTCCAGAAGGAAGCAGGTGCTGTTCTGTTGCACAGTGTTTGAGTAGCAGAACTTTATAATTTCCACATGAAAGGTAAAAATCTGATCTGGAGGCAGATCTGATCTTTCTGCTGTCAAGCTGTTATGTTGTGACTGTTCTGGTAAGGGAAGTTGCAGAGGGGTGCTGGTCCAGCTGTGCTGAGGTTTAGCTGGGATGTCTTCACTGCAGTGGGTAGTGTCAGCTTTATGGGGTCAAGCAAAGCTGGCAATGCCTGTGTCTTGATGTGTAATCTTTTCTCTTTTACACAGCAGCTGCCTGAAGCTACTTGTGTCTCTGTCGTTATGTGGGAGAAAAAATGATGTGTTAAAGTGCATCAAATACTTTGACTAACTTTCCATTTTAGTGCTAGTGCAGGTGTGCCCATTGCTACCAGCAAGCATAGGCAGCTCTCACCTGTAGAGCATTGATTTACTGGGAGGTAAGGAGGGCTGTTCTCCTTCCCCCGTGCTGTGCCCATTAGGCACTGGTTTTCACCCCATGGCCACATGGTTTTTGACATCTTGTTTGCCATAGCTAACCTAGTCTTTGCCCAGCACCGTGCAAGGATGTGGGTGTGTTTTGGCAGCTTTGCAGGGGTGGGAGTGAGAAATAATGGCTTTCTGTGGCCAGGTAACTGTTACCTTTTACCCTGCTTTGCAGGGGCGTGTTGGGAGACAGGTAAAACTCGGGTATACCAGTTTTGGTGATCTGGTGGTAGCACAAGGAATTGAGCATTGGGGATCCACTGGGGGCTTATCACCTCATGCAGCTGGCAACGTGACATCCTTGACTTAATCCACAGTCACATGTGAGGTCTGGGCAGAGCTGGAGGAATGCTATTCCAGGAGGAATGCTATCCAGTGCAAACCTTCTTCCTTCTCTCCATCATAGCTGCCTGTGCCTTGCAGAACGTACGGTACTCTCACCAGTGCTGCTTGGTTTGGAAGGCCAGGAACCTTGTAGGCCTGAACCCAGTTAGGGTTCCATGGATTCCACCATATCCTGACCGTGATAAGAAGAGAAGAAATAATACCTGCTTTAAAATGATGTATGTCTGCAGCGTGAGATCAGTGAAGACTGAACTATAACTGCTGCAGGCTCTGTGCGAAATGTGCCGGAAAGTATCTTGCACTTGGTGATCCAAGTGTGGTGTGACTTCTATAGATCGTGATTTAATGACAATTGAGTGAACTCCTAAACTGAGGGAACCTGCAATTATTTATTGTTTTAAATGCTTCATCTATGTGTTTGTCTCACACTTTATACAATTGTTATAGATGTGGGTATCTTTTGTCATTGTATCCCTGTCTGACTTGAAGGTCGCTTGCCACAACCAAATCTCAGTTATCGTTATTGGATTTCATTAGATGTTAGGACGCAAAAGTAAGCAGATCTCAAAGTTGGCATGCTCTGGCAAACCTGCAGCTTGCGTGCTGTGGAGCTGACCTCCACAAACACAGCTCTGGGAGAACTGATGGTCCTGCCTCTGCACCTGAAAAAAATCAAATAAAAAGACCTTCTCTTTCTCTCCCCCCTTTTCCTTAATCTCTTTTCTGACAGGGAGCAGAGAGGAAGATCAGGGATGAAGAGCGAAAGCAAAGCAAAAGAAAAGGCAAGTGCACTGACCCCAGCTCTCAATTGAATGCCTGTAAGTAGAAATTATTCCATCAGTATTTAGAATATTAGATTTCATTTTGGCTACAAATAGCTTGTACAGTAGAACTCTTAAGTCAATTTTTATGCCCTATGGACTAGTGCTTGTTTTAAGCAGTTTCTTATGGAGTCGTTGTGTTTTGCAACATACTGGGTCACTTAGGGTTTCACTTCTGCATAGTTCTTTCTGTCCAAGACAGGGTCCTGCTGTGTGTTCAATCAGGTATGGGTTGTATCAGTTGAAGTGATGGGGTCAGGGTGGAGTTTTTGGGCACTGCAGATCCAGGTGGCAGTGAGAACTGGATCTGTTCCAAGTGTTCCCAGCTTGATCCTAAACTTATATTAAAAATGTGTTTACAACTCATCAGCAAGACAGTGACAGCCTTGGGGCTAAGCCTTCAACTTCCCAGCACTATGCTCACTCTTCTAGAGCAAAGTGTTCCTTAGAAAATAGTTTCAAAGTTTCTGCATGTGTGAGGGCTGTGAAGACCTCAGCACTGTAGTATGTAAAGGCTGAAGAGTTTCTTC